TCCTTTTGTCAAAGCTGACATCTTGGACAGAGTTAAGAGTTCATAAGTTCAGATAACTTTCTGCTAACTTCTATAAAAGTGTTAATTTATGCTTTCAGGAAGAAGAAAAAAGTAGAAAGAGACAATTCTAGAAGCTGTCCTGCCTTGAAGTCTGGACCCTGTGCTACAGCATCCTCCCTGCAGAGAGGGTCCAGGGTTGTCTTTAACATCCCCCACAAAGCACTGAGCTGGAGTCTAAGTGATGGAAGGGAATGGCTTTAAACTGAGACAGGGGAGGTTTAGGTTGGATTTTAGGAGGAAGTTTTTCACCCAGAGGGTGGTGACGCACTGGAACAGGTTGCCCAAGGAGGCTGTGGATGCCCCATCAATGGAGGCATTCAAGGCCAGGCTGGATGTGGCTCTGGGCAGCCTGGCCTGGTGACTGGTGAGCCTGCACATAGCAGAGGGGGTTGAAACTAGATGATCACTGTGGTCCTTTTCAACCCAGGCCATTCTATGATTCTATTTTTCTTGTGCACCGTCTTACCCTAGAAATCACAGAATCATAGAACTGTAGGGGTTGGAAAGGACCTCTAGAGACCATTGAGTCCAACCCCTCTGCCAAAGCAGGCTCTCTACAGCAGGCTGCACAGGTAGGCGTCCAGGCGGGTCTTCAACGTCTCAAGAGGAGGAGAATCCACAACCTCTCTGGGCAGCCCATCCCTTCACATTCCAAACTCTGAGTTGAGAATGGCTTGGACATATTCTCTATGTACGTCTTTCCTTTTGAGTGAGTGTAAGGGCCAGCATTTAAACACTATTCGACCACAGCTGCAGATCTACATAGCAATTAAGCATGTTCTGATATTCATCCTTGTCTCAGAAAAGCATGAGTGTTTGCACTGTCGGAATGCAGTAGCCAGCAGCAGTTAAATACAATCGAGAGATTTCTAAGTTTAGGACAGAATACCACACAGCTGCAGTCCTTCTCCCACTGGGTATGACAAATCAGATCAACTTCCCTGCTCGTGTCTCCATCTCCTTAGGTGTCTGTGCAAACAAATCCTTTTTGCCCAAAGTTTCATGTTGAAATAAGCGCTTTTTTTTTGCTTTTGCATTTTTTCTGCGTATGCGTACTTTTTTCAAAATCTGTGAATAACACTCAGGAAGTGTTAAAGAGGGAGAAATCACAGGTTATGGATGACATCGTCAACTTTTTCAAGGCAATGACTGAGTAGTGCAATTCATCACCTCTGTGTCATGAGCTGGATCAGGGGTTCTTTCTCCTTTGTTAGCTTTTCAGAGACGTGGGGTCTAGAATGGATGTTACAGTTTTGCTCCTATTTCAGAGTTACTTGTGAACAAAGCATTTTTAACCCACAGAAAAATGCAGTTTGTGTGGCTGAAATAGTAAACTGTGTTGTAATTGAGTAACAATAATAATGAAAATACACTCTTTTAGAGAGAATGAGTCCTTTAGCTACATTTAGTTCCAGCCTGACAGAGACAAACCAATTTAAAATTTACAGTGAATATCAATATTGTTAATAAAGAAGCCCAGAAATCTCAAACTAATACGGCTATGTTCAGCGTTTAAAAAACAACCCATGTTTGGGTTATGATAAGAAAAGGGACTTTTGTAAATTCAAATCAAATCAATGCTTCTATTTTTTGACTTGGAGAATGTTTCTTTTCTCGGGTTGTTCACAACATATAATTAGAACTGTAGGGCACTTCACTACACCCCGTACAAGAGATGCTCTATCTCACAGTGGCACACTGTTTCACAAAGCCTAAGCGACTGCCAGAAAACTTTCAGTCTGCTACTATATACTTTCTACTGTTCCAAAAACAGTTGACAACCTAAATTATATGAGCAAAATACATCAGAAAAGAGAAATAACTTATCTAAAAACTTTTTTTTTCAAATATTTGTTCCCTCTGTACCTCTTTTAATTAAGTGAAAAAAGCACTTGTGCAGTAACCAGCCATGAGCCTCTTCCTCTAACACACACAAATATACTTTTGCACAGAATGTTTTACTGTAAGTCCAACAGCCCTGCACAGTCACAAACCAGTGATTTGTGTCATGGAGAAGTGAATTATCAAAAAATAACGTAAGCACTGATACAAATATAAGCCATAAAAACATTCATTTGTTCTTCCCTATTTTGCGATTACAAGGTCATCAGTATTTTTCAACTGGATTTTTATCATAATAAAAGAAACCATATGTTCATGCAAATGCTGTAACTGAAAAGACTAAATTTTTTGGCTACTGGAATGTGCTTAATGTACAGTGATGCATGTTTTCTTATTTGAATTTAAATACATACCTCAACTTGTATTGAACACAAAGCAGAGGCACTGTAAGTTCACAATATGCAGCACTACAACAACCAATGTTACATTTGGAAACTCATCTACACCATATCTGATTCATTGATGTCTTCTGAAAATGATGTTTTCTGAAAAGTCTTCTGAAAAGGATAGAAGTGATGAAAATTTTATTATTCATAGAACGGTTTATGGAAGGTTCTTGTAAGCTCATATAGTTCCAACTCTCTGTGATAGGCAGGGACACCTCCCACTAGACCAGGTTGCACAAAGCCTTATCCAGCCTTCATAATTTATATAGGCATTTTGATACAATATTGCTAAATGTCAGACAGTATTTTAGAAATTAACAAGAAATTTTTGCACTACATGATATTTGTGTGCAATTATTTTTTTACTATTAAAAGAATGCTTAAATGTCAAGTCCCTGGAGACTTTCAAGGCAAGGCTGGATCAGGCCCTGGGCAACCTGATTTAGCTGTGGTGTCCCTGTTTGTTGCAGGGGAGCTGGGCTAGATGGCCTTCAGAAGTCCCTTCCATATATAAGGATTCTGTGATTCTATGAAGTCCAGGAGGTGCCTGTGTGATAATTCTCTGATTAAAAAGATTGACAGAGAAACAGAACATCCAACTCTAAAACATACAAACAGAATGGCTGGGAGACTGTCTGGTAGAGTGCAAGACGGTGTGCCTATCTCCCATTCAGTATTTATTATACAGCTACAAAGAACAGTAAATATCTAACTTCCCTAGAAATCCAAACTCACCAGCAGTCCTTCCCTCTGGCTCTATCACAGTTAGCTCCATGACTAAATAGCAACAAGCTTTGTGTGACCAACAAATTCCCATTTGAAACTGGGCTTCTAGGCTCACCATGATGGCAATAGTAAGGAGCCAATAGAGAATGTTTACCTGTATGCTTGAGTAAATATTATTTGCAATCATTATTGCCATTGTGTACTAAGATGATCAGGGGGCTGGAGCACCTCCCCTATGAGGACAGGCTGAGGGAGTTGGGCTTGTTCAGCCTGGAGAAGAGAAGGCTGCGGGGTGACCTCATTGCAGCCTATCAATACCTGAAGGGAACCTACACCCAGGAGGCGAGTCAACTCTTCAAAAGGGCTGACAACAGCAGGACTAGGGGAAATGGATCCAAGTTGAAGGAGGAAAGATTTAGGTTGGATGTTAGGGGGAAGTTCTTCACAAGGAGAGTAGTTAGGCCCTGGAACGGGCTGCCCAGGGAGGTTGTGGATGCCCCGTCCTTGGACGTGTTCAAGGCCAGGTTGGACGGGGTCCTGGGCAACCTGATCTGAATGTGTATGTTTGGTGGCCCTGCTAGGCAGGGGGGTTGGAACTACATGATCCTTGAGGTCCCTTCCAACCCAGGTGATTCTGTGATTCTGTGATTCTGTGAAAATCATTTGCCTGGAGTCACAAAGAATATTAATAATAATATTGGAAGGAGAATGTGACATTCTGATTCCTTGTTGTTGTCTGCACTGGAAAAAAAAAGAAAAAAAAAGTCAGTACTTAAGAGAGGATTGGGTATTTCTGTCCCAGAAGCAGAAACCTCCTTTAAGTCATACTAATCAGTGATTTACAGCAGCTATGCTGGGGGTAGTAGGAGGACAAATGTGCCTAGCCAAGCAGGACTTTCCCTCCACTGGAAAATGCTTCCTCATGTCTTTCAGGCACTTTCTCTGTGGGGTATGAGATCACAGTGGTTGTTTCTGGCCTGTTCTGCTGCACGAGGGAACAGGCTGCAATGCTCTGCAGAGCATAGCTTCACTTTCCCTGTGTGCCCCAGCAGGCTTTCCTGCCAGGTACTCCCCTTGATTCCCCTGCACCTCTAAGACCTTTCCTGTGCTCCATGGCCAGGAGAGCCAAGCAAGGCTGAGCAACAAGCTCAGTGCAGCGGCAGGCTGTGCCCTGCATGCCAGGTGTCTGTCCTGGACACAGGTTCCAAAGGTACATAGCTGAGTGTGTGAGGTTTGTCTGGTCTGCAAGAAAGGTAGGAGACAGCTGCGTACATAAGACCTTCAAGGTCTGATTTTGTACCATTACTACTAGAAAATGTGTTGTTGGCTTTACATGGAGAAAGATTGAAAACTGCTCAATTACGTGAATGAATACGAACAACAATACAGAAATCTGTCTTTAATTGAAAAACCCACATGAACGCAGCCAATCTTTTCCTCCCCATAAATGGGCACGGGCACTTTCTTCAATAGGAAAGAGCAATCACAATCTGGGATTGTTAAAATTTCACTGATTTTAAAAAGTGTTCAACAGCAGATTCAGAAACTTCAGTAAACGACCGCAATCACAGTAACAAGGCACCATAGAAAGAGATCAACTATTCTTGATCAACTGCAAACAAAACAATAAGCCACACCTGACAGATAAAATCAGGTTATATTTTACGCTGAATTATCCTCTTACTCTAGCAAAGTGAAAATTCTGTAATTCCCCATCAGTGCCTCCCAAAATACATACAACTGTACCAAAGAATACAATTTGGATTAATTTTTAGCCATTTTCCTTGCTTTTGCTTTACTGTTCTGCTTAAACGCACCATTATCTTGTATCAGGAGTCCATTTTGTTATTTGGAGAATATCTAGAATGCTGCTTATCTTGAAACATTAATTTAAAACATTTTCTTATCTACATGCAACAAACTCACCTATATAATGACTGCAGGTCCAACTCAGAGTCCACAGCCATAGCCCACAACTCAGTATACCTTTTTTCACTCACACTCTTAAATGTTAAGAAGCTGAGTACCTGTAAGATTGCAGGAGCCAATAGCCCCAGTCTGAACTGAAGCTTTATTGTCCTTTTTTTCAACTCGATAAATCCAAACTCAGTCTGTCAAGCTGATGGAGAACTGTAAATTATACAGTTTATCTACTGTCTCCATAGCAGCTATATAATTCGCCAGGTCTACATCAGAGCACTGTGCAGTGTTCTCTCCCTCAAATGTCCTGCTAGTCTTCCCAGTAATCTTCACAGGCTTTTCTTTTTTCCTCCCAGGTGGTGTGCCTTTGCCAATACAATAAGCTGAAACCTGTTTCCAATTTCTTTAAGCCAGGCTTTTGAATTTAGATATAATGCTTATCCGTCTTAGAAGTGCTTTTACAAAAAGAAACAGCGCTGCCAGCCTCAGAAAGGCAACAAGGAGCAAAACCACATATACACATACTTCTTTTTTCGTAAGTAATATTTAGGCCAGTCTCTTGATTATCAAACTCCTTACACTGATCTCCAGCTTACTGTTGAAACAACAAATCTTGCAGTCTCCCAACATCAGAATTGTCTGCACACAATGCATAAGCCTTGACCTTTTCAACATTCTGTGTGGCTGCTCTTCCTTTCCTTGAAAGCAGTATCAAGAGCTTCCTTGTTTCTTAAGCAGCCTTGTGAGGACAGCTCAGCGTGATCCTTGCAGCAGTTCTGATTAATTTCTCCAAGCAAAATAGGCAAATGCAGTTTCCTTCAGCCCCTCTCCACGCTGAAGAATTCACCAAGACTAGAGCAAAGTACTGCAGGAACCGCCCTCGAAGGGGCAAAGTCAAATTGTATCACAACAAAATTGCATCCCAGCAATTTCCACCTGCCTTTTCAAAAGCAAAGTCTCAAAATCAACAGGAATTTTATTCTGGACTAAACTGCAAGAGAAAAGATGGAAAGGGAAAAACAACAACAACAACAACAACAAGCCTGTATTACTAAGATACAGTTCTCACAGTACGGAGCTGGATTGCATTGCAGTTCATCTACACTGGGATTATCTTCAGCAGTGCAACTAGATGGCCATAAAATGGGTACGCATTTACCCATGCATATAGGAGGGGAAAAAAAGGCTTTCACACCTTTAGAAAAATGCATATATGCAAGACCTTACATTGAGCGAGCAACAATTATCTGCATCACAGAACTGTAGGAGTTGCAAGGGATCTCTGGAGACCATCTAGTCCAACCCTCTAATAAAGCAGGTTCACTACAGTAGGTTCACAATACAGTCCAGATAGTATTAATTATTCCATCCTTCATAATTTAATTTGAAAAATTCACTTTTTTTAACAGCACATACTAGACGTTTCTCTCGCATTACAGGGGGAGGAAGGAAAGAGTAAAACTTAGTTCTGAACACATTTTTCAGATTTTATGAGTAAAAAATTCCCATCCAACCAGCAGCGTCTACCTGCAGGTTTCATCTCATTGCCACTCAAGCAGCCGGCAAACTTCTCTTTGGCAGAGCAGAGCGCCGAGCTAGTGGGGCTGGCATAACTCCCCAGTGGAGCAATGCAGTCGCCTCGCAACCAGCCCTCTTTTGCAGCGGTGACACAGCCTGTGCAAGCTCTAGCAGCAGGAGTCCGTACATTGCTCGGAGCTCGACAGAGAGATTACAAGGAGTGAAGCTGCTCCCTTCAGCTGGCTCACAACCCGGCGCAATAAACGCTCCCTGTAGGAACAGAATGGACTCTTCCTGCCACCAGCATACCTATTCATTTTTTGATGGTTGAGTACACATTTCTCACACTGAAAAAGCGTTTCCTTTTGTTGCTTTCTTTCCTCCTGGAATGAGATCAGTAAGAGATTTTTAAGTTTTACAAAACTAGCGTCACTTATTTTTTTAAACTTTGTGAACTTGTACTGTATCTGTTTCGGGGATTTGCTTGTAGGAAAGAATGCATGATTTAATATTGGTGTAAGCTGTAGCACAGAACGCAGGGGATTTACACTTCCTTTCCTTATGCCGTGTCCTTTGGTAACCAGTACACAAAAACCCCACCTCGATTGTTTCCAGACTTTCCCCGCCCCCGTCTAGGAGCATCAGTTATTTCGGATGAGAGAAATATGCAAAAGTTCGCCTCCAACTTCCCTTGCCCTTTGCTCTTTAGGAACGCCTCGCATATCCCAGGTTATTAGCCAGGGATGAACCAGCCCCGACCCTAAGGCAGGCTGCTGCTTCTCACTGCCCTGACAGCCCACAGCACAGTTCTGTCAGGCGCCAAGCCTCACCAGCACGACCTAGACACGACGGATTGAGCCACCCCCGCTCCTCGGGGGCGGGCAGCCGGCTCCAGGTCTTTTCCCTCGCCCCTTCCCCACGCAGTGCCACCTCCCCTCCCATGCAGCTCAGTCCTCGCAACCGCCTTGCAACCGCAGCGCCTGCGACGGCCGCGGCCACCACGCATCCCCTCCCCCCGCGCACGGCTCCACCCCCCCGCTCCGCGCTGCCTTCGGCTCTGCCGGAAAGGTTCTCTTTCCGGTCCGCCGCAGCTGTTCGCTTCCGGTCCCGTGCCCCCAACATGGCGGCAGCCCCTGCGCCCAGTGAGTTCTGAGCGCCGCTCGGCCCGTTCCCTGCCGCCGCCCGCCGCTGCCCGGCGTTCTCCTTGCGGGCCGAGCCGGGCCGCGTCCCGGCGCCGCCGGCGGAGTGCCGGCAGCCCCGGGCCCCTGAACCGCTCCCGCCTGGGGTTGAGGAGCCGCCGCCGCCATGGCGCCAGTGCAGCTGGAGAGCAACCAGCTGGTGCCGGCCGGCGGGGGCCCGGCGTCAGCCCCAGCCCCGCCGGCGCCCGGCGCGGTGACAGCCGCCGCCAGCCCCGGCTACCGGCTCAGCACTCTGATCGACTTTCTACTGCACCGGACTTACGCCGAGCTGACCGTGCTGGCAGACCTGTGAGTGCCCCCGGCCCCCTACCCGCCCTGGCTGTTCCCGAGTGTCTTCTCCCCGCCTGTGCCGCAGCCCGGCGTTGAGGAAGCTTCGCTGGGGCCTGACCCAGGGCCGAGTTGGAGCGTGGGGAGGTGGTTGCACTTTCCTTAGCTCCTGTCCCAACAAAAAGCCTCGTTCGTGTGGCTTTGCCTCTCCTCGGGTTGTGTTCCGGGGCTTGGTGAAAGCTAGTGAGTCCCCTGTCATAAAAAGAGGAAAAGGCTGGGGAATGGAAAGCAGATGGGTGAAAGTTGTTGCAGTCAGTGCTCAAGTTCAATGCCTGGTAGAAAGCCCACCTGTAGTGCTTGTAGTGGTGTCAAAATACATGACAATGAAAAGTGGAAAACTCCGTTGTTTTCAAGGGTTGCAACTCCTGAAGTTACCTATGTGGTCCTTAAATTACCACTTGAGTGCTTTCGAGGGAAAAATAAAAGACCATTATTTCACAATCTGTTGTGCTGAGTTTTTGCTTGAAATTGCAAGGGAAAAAGGAAGGCCAAGAAAAGCTTACCAGAAAGCATTCTGTCTCTGAATAAATGTACACCTTTTTGTTTGTTTAAACAAAGATTCTTGGAGGGATTGTGTATTTTTTATTAAGTCACATACGGAGAGCATGGCAGGGGAAAGGCAAGCATATTTTCCTGTAAAGCACCTCATCTGGAAAATATGCAAGCAGAGTTTTGCTTGACTTGAGGTTAAAAGCACTCAAACTCTAGAAAGGATGAGGAATTTTACTTTGTCTTGAGAAAACTTCCAAAATGCCAGTGAAAAGTCTTTGCTGTATGTTTATGATATCTATAGGCAGTAACTGATTTTTTTAGCTGTTCTAGGAGCATTTGCCGGTGATGTCTTCGATGTTTCTTTTATGGTGTAGAACTGGTTCTTTAGACTAGAGTGTACAGTTGAGTATAAACTAAGATAAGTGGTGTGAAGAAGAAATGGAGGATGCTTTAGGTACTCTGATTCATCAAGTAAGATTTTAAGCTCTGTGGTGTCTCATCTAAAAGTGGAGTGACTAGATTTTTCCACTGTATTTCTCCATAAAGGATGGATTTGGCTATTAAAAAGCCCAACTGGAAAGTATTCTTCTCCTTCCCTTCAACAGAGAGCTCTCGCTCCTTTACCAGCATCATGAATGAAAAATAACTTGGAAATGAAGTGCCATTAATAACTCTAGGACATTAGAGTTGACAGCCCCCTTTTTTTTTCTGCAGTAGTATCTGTTGTGCAGGTAATTAATAAAGTTCTGGAGTATGACACTTCTTCACTTCTAGATTATTGAAAGATAAACTCGTTTCAAGCAAATCAGAAACACCAAAGTTAATCTTGCAGTAGGTGTTCTCTGATTGCTATCATGTATTAACTAACCCTTTTCATAAATATTTGATGGGAACAGGTGGTGATATTATATACCACGGCTGGCTTAGCAGAAATCTTGAGATTTGAACGTTCTTCATAGAATAATAATAAAATGCCTTATATTTGAAGGGCCCTTAAAGAGCAACCAGTTCCACTCCCTGCTGTGGATGTTTCCCACTGGATCAGGCTGCTCAGGACCTCATCCAACCTGTCAGGATACTGAAGGCATTCAGGGCTGCAAGTGCACAGCGCTGGCTCATGCCCAGTCTTTCGTCTTCCAAGCTTTTCAATTAACTTGACCAGTTCCTGCTTAACTGTCAGGTTCTGGCTGTTGTCCTGTGGTCCTGTTATACACCTGATTCCCCCTACTTCCCATACAGTACTCTGCCACCCCTGCAGCTTTAACTGGGCTGCTCTGTAGAGCTGTCAAACTACTTCCTTTATCAAACATGCAACTTCATTATATTTAGGAGACATTTACAATCGGGATTTTTGAAATGCTTTTTATAAGTATGTGGAAATTCTTGTACTGGCCTGAAGATTACTAATAAGACTTTTCTTTATAGTGGTATGCAGCATAATGGAACAATGGATAACATGCTGTCTTTTTCCTTTTTATTATAGATTACCAAGAAAGACTGATATGGAAAGGTGAGTTAAAATAAGACAGTCTGTAATACATGTTAAATACAAAACCTTGTTTAGGATGTTAAGATTAATGTAAAACTGTTTGAAAGGAATATTTTTCTCCTAATTTTAGATTTTCTGCAAGAAAATAAGCCTTATTTGTCTTACTGTCACTATGTAGTTTCAAGATTTTCTTCAGCATAGGCAACAATATGTTTTTTTGTTGTTTTGTTTTATATAGTTGTTGTTTGGTCTTTTTTTTTTTTTTTTGTACAGTTCAGTAACATGATGTTGCTGTTATATCAGGTGAAATCTGCTAAGGGCATTTTTCTCTTAATTACAATGGAACTTGAAGCAATGAAGTGACAGTACGTCTAATAGGAAAGGGAGCTAGAGGACCTAGATTCTAGTTAGCTTGTTGAATCTTGTTCAAAGGTAGTGGTTCAACAAGGTAAAGACTTTTTATCTACCTTTTTGTAGTACCCATCTTTCTAATCGTATGGCACCATTTGATACCTGTATTTTTTACCTGTTTGGTGTGGTTTTGAAGTATAAAGATTAATTGAAAGCAAGTAACCAGAACAGGCTTTTTGATTCATTTGTTCAATCCTCTTTCCTTCTCCCCTGGATGAAAGAATTTGATTTGTTTTTTTGTTTCTTTGAGTGAACTCCGAGATGTTGTTCGTTATTTTGAATAAGCTTCATTTCTTTTGCTATTTGTGTTAACACCCTTATTGACCTAATTTTCTCTGAAGACATGTAACAGCTCTGTTATTCCTAAGGATATGAAGAATGTTAATAAAGAATTCTGTTTAACAGGATGGTCGTCAGTTCAGTCATCTCACGTCTTCTAAAATTCTCATAACCTGCTCTGAAATAATCAGAATTTCAGGAATTCATAACCTGGAATGGTTCCTTGCACTTCTTTTTTCTTACATATTTTATAAAGAAGAGCAGTCTATTTGCATGTTAAATTGTCATGGAATCATCATAGAATTGTGGAATGGCCTGGGTTGAAAAGGACTGCAATGATCTAATTTCAACCCCCTGCTGTATGCAGGGTTGCCAACCACCAGACCAATTTATTATCACCATATTTGCTGAAACAGTGACATTCAGCTTGGGTCCTGAGCTTCCTCTTACTGGTGTGAGGGCTTCTCCCATCTACACATTGAGCATTTTGTGTCAAGCTGAAAACTGCTTTGCAGGGCACACCTGTTTGAAGCAACGTGTTAAATCCTAATGGAATACAGGTAAAGGAAAATAACACAGTCTTCAGTGCTTACCTAGAATCATAGGAGGGCCTGGGTTGAAAAGGGTCACCAGTCACTAGACCAGGCTGCCCAGAGCCACATCCAGCCTGGCCTTGAATGCATCCACAGACAGGGGCATTCACAGCCGCTTCAGGCAACCTGTTGCAGTGTCACTGTGTCCTGTAACTGAAAGCATCTTGATGTTAAATGTTCGCATCCATGTTGAATTTAACTTATTTAGTTCTTCTTAATGAAGTGGCTTTATAGCTCCCGAGGACTCCTGTTAAGAAGCGTAGCTTATCCAGATTATTCTGTTGTGTTGGGTTTTTGTGTTTTGGTTTGTTGTTTTACCAAGTTCAAGAGCTGCTGCGGCAACAGTAGTTGTGCTTGAAGCACTGTTTCTTGAAATTAGCCTAGCGACATGGTATATGTATTTGGATGAGGATGTGATGGTGTTATCTTCTAAATAAAATAAATAAAAATCATATAGCATCTACTTTTTTTTTTAATGGCAACAAGCTAAAGGATACTATAGGAAAAAAAAACTGATAGGAAATGATGAATCTTAATATGATGTTGCTTTGCAAAGAGAAGTCTTATTTATGTACATCATTGTCACTGATAGGAATAAACTGCTTCCAATGTACTTTTGCAACGAGAAAGATAAGCAGTTGGATTTAAAAATGTAGTGTTAGTTCTGATGTAAAAGTAAAGCTGAATGTTGGGGGAATTCCAGGGGCTTTCTCACTGATAATGTTTGGTATCTTTTCTGTTATCTATCACAATGGATTACAATGACTTTGCAAGGCTGTATCTTCTGCTGTGGGGAAATGAATGGTAAAACTTTATACATGTCTTCCTTAACAAACAGTCCTTGTTCTCACTCTTCCAACAACTGTGTGAATGCATTGTTTTCCTAAAGGAAAGCAGTTTCTCCTCTTTTTGTTTGTGAAGCAGTCTGTTACTTCTTAAATCTGCAGCAAGGACTACCATCTAAACAAAAATTCAGAAGTGATGTAAAAATAGGTTATTCATAACTTCAACAGCAGTTATTTGAACAGCAATTATTACACATCTTTCTTGTGAAATATTCATTTCCATTTCTTGTTTATGACAAAATGGCTGCTAGTTCATTAATTTCATTGATACGCATAATTTTGGTTTGCAGGGCACTTTGGAGATACCTGGTCCAAACCTCTGCCTCAAATAAAAAACATAGACTAAAATAAAAGTTGTTGGTTGTGCAAGGTCATACTCTGTTGAGTTTTAGGCATACCTTCAAGATACATCTCTTGCAGTCTTTGTGGGCTACCTACTTCAGTCTTCAAACAACTTGTGTATTTCTTCTGTTTGCTTTTCTAATGTCAAACTGGTGTGTTTCGGTGGTTTAGTTTGTGGCTGTTGTCCTTCATCCTTTTGCACTTCCAATAAGAGTCTCTTCCTGTCTTCTTTGTATTTCTCCTTTTGGTATTTCAAGACAGCAGTAGTATCACCCATGGCCGCCTCCTCTTAGGTGTAAGCAAACAACTGCTTCAGTTGTTCTTTGTATCTCATGTGTTCCAACCCCTAACTTCTGTGTGGCAAATATCTTTCTTGGCTAGAGAGTTTAAAAAACTGGACATAGTGCTTCATATGCATTCAGACAGATGCTGACTCCACGTGAAGAAGTGTTTCCCTTGACTTAGGCAGTGGTCATGCTAATACGATTTGCTGTAATGACACATTGCTGATATCTCTTCATTTGTCCACCAGGACCCTCAAATCCAGTTATGCATACTACTGCTACTTAGTCCTCAGGCTGTGCTTTTATGTAAGGCTGTTTGGGTCCAGGTGCAGGACTTTGCATGTCGTTTTGCTTCATCGGGTTTCTGTCAACTAGTCTCTCCAGCCAGCTGAGGTTCCTTTGTTTTGTCCAGTTTGACATCACCTGCAAGCTTCCAAAGACTGCAGTCCTTCACCTCGTGTCAGTTGTATATAGAGGTGTTTAATTGTATGAGTTGCCCCAGTACTGACCAGTAGGGAATGTGAGCAGTAATCACTTCTAAGGAAGTTCAACTGGTAGCCAGTCAGCCTTTCATGTTTGGCACTGCAGCCTGTTTTTCATCTAGTTTGCAGTCCACTGTTCCCTTCTATATGTTACCAACCTGGCTGCAAAGATACAGTGGGATGTCTTGTCAAAAGATGCTCAAAAGGCATCTTCTGTTCTCCCCTTGGTTATGGAGCTGGACAGCATATAGAAGGCAGTTGTGTTGATCAGGGATGATTTGTTCTTGGCAGATCTGTGCAGGCTTTTCCCAGGCCACTTTCATGTTTTTTTGTTTTCCTGGATGTAGCTTCTGGAAAGATTTTCTGCTTATTTCTTGTTTAACTGAGCTTTGGCTCTCTGGCATGTAGGTTTGTCTTGAAGATGGGCATGTTGTTTGCCTTGTTTCCAGTCATTAAGACCTCTTATTGCTTTGGCCTTTTGGAAATGATAGAGTTACTTTGTGTTTTCAGAGATCAACTTCCTCAGCACCCTTGGATGCATCCCATCTGCTCTGATGGCTTTTTGTATGTCAGGTTTACTGAAATAGTCCCTAATTTGATATTCTCCAACTGTAGCTAAGGGTTCACTCCCCTAAGCTCTACCACTAGGCTGAAGGATCTGAAATACCTGAGATCAGAACTTAACAATAGAGTATCTACTCAGTCCCACAGCTTTGTCTATGCCAGTTTTCTCTTGCACTGCTGAGCACTGGACTCATGTTTCCTTGGTCTTTTGCTGTTTATAGACCTGTAGTACAGAAGTTCTTCTTGTTGAACTTCATCCTTTGCTAGTTTTTCTTCTGAGTTCTAATTTTCTATGCTGGTCTCTGCATGCTTGAGCAATTTCTGTGTATTGCCCTCTCCAACTTTGTACTTCCTTTTTGTATTCAGTTTGTTCAGGGGTTTCCTGTTCAGTCAAGCTTTCTGCTCATTGGAACAGTCTTTGTTAGAAGCAAAGCTTTAATGATTCTTATTTATAATAAAGCTGAATTATTTTGAAGGGTTGTTTCTTAAGTGTAGTAATTCAAAAGCTTTTTAATGTGCTCTGCTTTGCTTTTATAGGCCTTGTAAATGTACTGTTTCTGTAAGTTTCATCTTCACTGAAGACATTTTTTTGTGCAGCCCAATATTAAGTTCAGTGTCTATAATAAAGAGCAGAGGAACACAGCAACACTGAAAGACTCTTGGGTTCTTCAGAGAGGGGTAGATGGATGTGAATTCCCAGTGCAATTGTGAATGAAGGTGACAGTCATGGTTATTGAAGCAGGATTTTGTCAATTAGAACTAACAGACTGCCTGTAACTGCATAAAGTAGTATTAATGAAGCAATTCCTGGAATACTCCTTTCAGTAATTTTCATTATTAAATTGTTGTGGGTTTTTTTTCCCCTATTTTTTTGTCTATCTTTGATTTCCAGCTATGGAAAAGCACTCTGAAATTTTCTTGCTATCATGTTTTTTGTCTCCACAAAATTTTGGTTGCTATAACTACTTCTATATTTTAGCTACTTCTATAGGGAATTTGTTTGAAAGATTACTGACATTCTCAAGTCTCACTATAAATGTCTTCCAAACTCCGTTGTGTTTTTGTAAACCTTTAAAAATTTTCCACATCTTACTTTGACAGTGTAGTAACTATCCTAGTAGAGCTGTCTGTACCTATAACAGCTTGTCTGCCACTTGAAGTTCTAACATCAGACTGTAGATTATTCTGGAATATATGCTGTATAATGGGGGGAAATTACTGGCTTGATGCCCAAGCTCTTGGATGAGATTTGTAGTATGTAAGGCAGGAGACTGAGCCAGATGGTGTTAGTGGTGCTTCTGGCCCAAATACTCACCTGGTACAATCAGATTATGCTTTATGGATTGCATGGCAGGATTTACCTCATTACACCAAGACTTTCAGCAGAAATAGGCTCTATCTGTGTTATGAGTATGTATGTTACAGATTAGGCTCAGAAGGAGGTGCAAATTCTACTTGCTGGTAGCTAGTATCTGTTGTGGTGATGAATATGTGTTTTGCTCAGCTATGCTTGTTGCTTTCAACTTAAACATAAACCCTGGGGAAATCTTGGTAGTTCAATTGAGTTCACTAGTGAGTTGTTTCTCTTAAAATTAGTAGTTAATTCATGTGAGTGTGCTTTTCTGATGTTCTTGGTTGGTTAAAAATCCCTGTACTTTGTTGGCATTTAGGTGCTTAAAATAGTGAGCTCAGTCTCTTTTTTTTTCCTGTGCTCTGTTTAAACAAGCAATCCATTAGTGATTGCCTACGTTAGCACAATTAAAAGTTCTGATAACTACTTTTTTTCTTTAATGGCACACAGTTGAACTGCAAGTTTATTGTGTGTCTGAGCACCAGCTTAATGTGTATTCGATTGTTTTTTGTTTTTACAGAAAAATAGAAATAGTGCAGTTTGCAAGCCGTACTCGTCAGCTGTTTGTTCGTTTATTAGCCTTAGTCAAATGGGCCAACAATGCTGGAAAGGTGGAAAAATGTGCGGTAAGTTGGCAACAGAGTTGGGTATAAAACAATCTTTTATTAGCATGGGATTTTGGTACCATCTAATTTTTCATTAATATAGAAGTTTTAAAAAACCAGACCTGTATTTCACAGCATAAGGATGTTAAATGATAACCAATTTCTTCCTATTGAGAAGTTAAACAGTTCTTAACAGTTCCCTAAAACTCCTCAGTTATTTAAAAAATAAAGAATTATGCATCCTTTCAAGAGTTCTTGAACAGGACAGAGAAGATGGTGATCTCAGTGTGTTAGTTCTTGCTGTAATTTTAGTTCTGTTCTTAGTTAAGTAAGAACAAAGCACAGTGTTGCAAACACGAAGATTTGAGTGACTGTAAACTAGTTAGGTTGGATTCCAGTAGCAGTCACCAGATACAGAGCTGTGAGGCTTCACACATCCTCCACAGCACCAGAAGTGCATAGATTGAAAGTATCCTTGCATGTGAACGTTATGGCAGAGCACTCATTCTTTGTTTTATAGATGTGAGTCCTAGAACTGGAGGGAAGTGACAGAATCATCTCTGTCACAGGTTAGATGAGCTGGATATAAAGAACCTCTGGTTTGTGCGTTTTTGACACGTTTGTTCTTTTTTCCTCTCCCCATCCCCCATTGTTCTCTACAGATGATATCAAGTTTTTTAGATCAGCAAGCCATTCTGTTTGTGGACACTGCTGATCGTCTGGCATCTCTAGCCAGAGATGCTTTGGTTCATGCTCGTCTACCTAGTTTTGCTATCCCATATGCAATTGATGTTCTGACAACTGGATCGTACCCACGCCTACCTACCTGCATTAGGGTAAATAATATTACAGTCTTACTTGTTGTGGGGGGATCCCCATCAAATGCACAATAAAGAAACTAATTGCCTGATGCGTGCAAATGGAAGTGTAGTTTGCTGCTGACATAGTGCCGAGGCTGTGAAGTGTCAATTTCTGACAGGAGGCACTTCCTATTTGAGCAAGTTATCCTTTCCTAGTGAAACATTCTCTCAGTTTCAACTAGCTCATCTCTGGAATGAATATAATAGCAAATCTTTGATACTTTTTGTTTCTACATGGTAAGCCGTCATACTGGAAAAATAGAGTGCAAAAATAAGAATCAAACACCTGTTTTCTCAGAGATTTTGACTACAGCATACTGTATCTTGAGATGTAGTGAGCTATGTATGGCTACGTATGGCTGTTTTAATTTGTCCAAGTTGAGAAGTTTTATTTACTGATCAGGCTCAGGCAAGTTGTAAGTAACTAGAAAAAAAGAAATTGAATGTCAGATTAAAACAATCAAATACTGCAGTGGCCTGTGCAATTGTATTTGCAGACTTCTGGTCTGGTTTGTTTTTGTCATTGCTACTGGCAATGTATGAGACGTGTTTGAGATGTATAGATTATTTTTTTTTTAATATTTATTTTAACAGGATAAAATAATCCCTCCTGACCCGATTACAAAAAGTGAAAAGCAAACCACCCTTCATCAGCTGAACCAGATTCTTCGACATCGTTTAGTGACTACAGATCTCCCTCCCCAGCTGGCAAATCTTACAGTTGGTAAGAACTTGAGTCACTTTTTGAAGAACAGTTTATTGGAGACTGACTTAGTCGTTACCTTAGTGCTTAAAAACAAAGCCAAAAGATAACTTAAGCAAGATCATTAGATAGGCTTAATCTAGTAAGATTGGAATTCTGTTTCTCTCAGACATTGAATTATCTTTTTCTCTTTTGAAAAATGAAGATAGTAATAATCTTGCTGGAATAACTTTCAGATAGAAATCCTGTGCAGGTAGTGGTAAAATGGTGTAGAGACTGTCTTGATCTTTCAGCAAGTGTACTATGAAAAGTTCTGCCCTTCTTTCGAGATGGAAGTGCTCAATACCTGGTCTATGTTAGGCCATGCAATTCAACTGCTTTTTCTTACATTAATTTAAAAATTCAATTTAATTAAACTATTCGGTATTTCTCCTAGAAACTCTTTGAATTTTAACTTAAGCACATTGATGATGCTTTTTTTTTTTTGTCTGTATTAATATTCATCTTCGTGAATTAAATCTGTTGATGTTTGTGCACACATTTTATTCTGTGGCTGATTGCAATACCAGATCTCTAAATTATAGAGATCTCTTTCCATTTAGTCCAAGTACAGGTTGATGCTGTGATGTTTTTTTTGTTATTTCTACAGAAAGGGTGGTTATAAACTAGATTATGGCAGAATTGCAAAAAATGGACCTGAAATGGGCCTAGTCTGTACTTCTGACTGAGACAAAGTTAGCCTTGTATAAATTATATCCCCTAGATCTATAATGAAGATACTTCTGAAAATTGGTAGTAGTAGTTTTCACTGATCCTTTTCCAAGCACCTCAATATCACTACTACAGCCACTTTTTATCTCAATGATGTGTAAATGAATTTTTATCTGAGTCACGAGGTTTTTCAGTTAACTAAACATTTCAATATTAATTTCTGGTTTGAATTTGATTTCTTTTAAGAGCGTATGCAAATTTAAGTTAAAATCATTAGAATTTTTATAGGAATATTTCTAAATATCAAGAATTGTAAAGGTGTCTATGTGGCGTACTTGGTAGTTGATTGAGAAGATTGACCCACAGTTCTGAGTTCTTAGTAAGAACTTGTACTTTATTGTCTGCTTTGCTTCTCGCTTCGTTTAGGACCTTTCTTATATAGTTTTGGCTGCCTCTGTTCCCATGATAGCTATGCTCACAAAAATGTAAGGATGTATATGTCAATTACATAAACAACATACAGAATCTTTGCTTATGAGCATAAATGTGAAGGATGCGAAAGCGCGTTACTTCCGCATGAAAATGGAGTTAAAATATTTTAATGTTAAACAAATGGTTTGCTGTGAAATGTGTTTCCAGTGCTAGATTTTAGCCTAGGCTTCCTATCTGCTTACCTCTTCTGGATTCTTCCTTGAATATAGCAACAAATTGGAAAATTTAAGCCAGACATATTGTTTGTGTAATCTCAGATATTAGAAGTCAGCTCAGTGCAACTTTGTGTTAAAGCAGTACAAATGCTGACAAATTATTGTGACAAAATCACTGCTGTGCAAGTCAGTTGGGGACTTCTGTCTGTGCTGCTTATTGGCACTGGTGCTGTTGCATAAGCAGCTCTCAAAACTTCGAAGTTGAACATAAACACATGCAACAGAACAGAGTCTGTAGGGAAGTAATTCATTGAGACCACCAGGAACTACTGCACTGGTAACATGAGGTATCATATGAGACTGAGTGAAATAAAATATTTTTTCTTCCTTAGCCAATGGTCGTGTGAAGTTCCGAGTTGAGGGGGAGTTTGAGGCCACCTTGACAGTGATGGGTGATGACCCTGACATCCCCTGGCGCCTTCTCAAACTGGAAATTTTGGTTGAAGACAAGGAAACTGGAGGTAATAAATACAGAAAACAAAGTTTACACATTCATTTTAACATTATTTTTCTGTGGTGTTGCATAAGTCTTGTTTATGCAGAGTCTTTTGCATATCACAACTTGAGATAACAAAGCTACATATACACATCCAATTTTTACCTTACTCTGTATACTTCAGATACCTTATCTGTGGTAGTCTGTGGCAGTATAATAGACTTACTGAAATTTCCATGGTAAACCAAGAATTGTGTTATGTTGTTAGAAATTCAAGTGTTGAAGTTTCTTGGTACAGTTATCTTTTAATATTTATTTATTTCATTATTTAATTCAAATGCCCGTTTTCATGGTATCTAATGTGAATGGTTTTTAATTTATGAAAGATGGTCGAGCCTTGGTTCACAGTATGCAGATCAACTTCATCCATCAGTTAGTCCAGTCACGGCTGTTTGCTGACGAAAAGCCACTTCAGGACATGTACAACTGTCTGCGTATCCTTCTGAAAGTTCCTTCCGAATAAGCCATGTAATTTAATCTTGCTCTTTTTAGTAGGTGGAGGCCAAAAAATGTGACTTCCCTATTAAGCTAAGGGAAAACGCCTAGAAGAAGAGTAAAAACGATGGAGACAGTTAAGCTCATTTGCTAGCTGTAAAATTTCCTTTTACATACTTGATCAACAAACGTAAAGATGAAGTACTTGAGACAGCAGGCTGTATGGTAAGGCAGTGAAGCAGCATACTGATTGTGGAAATAGAATAGGATGCTGACTTAAAAGATACAGGAGCTTACAATTCTTACTGTAGAACCATAGTAAAATGATGATGATAACTGTACAGTGTGTTAACTGTGTTGCACCTGTATCAATAATGAAATGGGATATAGCTTGTACAGAAAACCAGTGCAGTGACTTTGTATGTGCAAGGGACAAATTACTTGACACTATGAAATAATTTTCAATGAAATAGTTTCTGCAGGACCAAACACATTTATGTTACTAATGGGTGATGATGAAAGATGGGCTTAATTGTAATCATAGGGTGAATTGAATTTCTTTTAATAATCTTCTTTTTGAAGAAAAAACATGATTGGAGTTGAAATCTCTGAACTACAGCTACTGTGACACTCTTGCCTGACAACCTGTCCTAGATTATAAAAAAAAAACCAACAAACTTGTGGAAATAGTTGATGCTGATTACATACATTTATCTCTAGATTAGTACACGAGCTTGTTCTCAGACAGCATCGTGCCTGACTTTCATGGCAGTGGACTTGCATAGTGAACACAGTCTTTGGATGTCTTCTCTTTCCTTAACTCTCTTCCTCAGACTCCTTCTGCCTAGCACTTCAGTTGGAAGTCCTGCATTCACAAACACTAATGCTGATTCGGGAGCGCTGGGGTGACCTAGTGCAAGTGGAGCGATATCATGCAGGGAAGTGCCTTTCGCTCTCTGTGTGGAAGTAAGTTGATTTTAAAAAGCTGTTAAACTTCATAACTGAAACATTAGGAGCTTTTTCATTTCCTAAATTTGAGCCGGAATTTTCAGAACTGTATTTTCTTTTTGAGCTGGAATTCCAAGATTCCGGAACACATCTCTTGTGAAGAAGTGAGCGATGTACATTCATGTACATAAAAGCAGTGGATGTAATCATAAAATCAGCTCATTTTCCTGAATATCTAAATAAACAGACAATTTGTCAGTCTTTCACCATGCCTATTGCTTGACTTAAACTAGATAGAATTAAAAAAAAAAAAACAAACAAAAAAAAACTGATCCAAATGCTCTTCTGACTCCCATGTTGAGTTTGCAGCCATCTAAAACTCCTTATGTGGATATAGTTTACTAATGTTTCTTCATTTAAAGATTAAACTAAATGTTTTATTCAGTTCCACTTACATAATAGAACTTTTATACAGAGCTCTCAGAATTAAGAATTAGCTGCTGAAAAGCATTTTTTCTGCTATTTCAATTAATAGCAGAATAGTGTTTTAATTTTTCCCTTTGTTTTAAGCCAACAGGTGCTTGGCAGGAAAACAGGGACTGCTTCTGTTCATAAGGTCACTATTAAGATTGACGAGACTGATGTCTCAAAACCCTTGCAAATATCCCATGAACCTCCACTGCCAGCCTGTGATTCCAAACTGATGGAAAGAGCCATGAAGGTAAAAGTTTGCTTTGTAAGAAGCGTCTACTTCTGTAAATCAGCAACTTAAAAATATTTGTTGTGCTTTGATTCTGTTCAGAGAGCAGTACTATGACTGATACTAACCTGTCACTGTAGATCACAGGGTGTTAATGTTGAGACCATAAATTGTTGTTACAAATTAGTGGTCTTGACTTTTGTCTTTAGCATTACACCTACTTTTCAGTGCTTAATATACTACTTACGATGACAGAATGTTGGGGCTATGGAGGGCACCAGTGAAGCTTCAGTTTTATTTAGTACTTGGCTTGAAATATTTTACAAAGAGCTGTTACAAGGAGCTTCCCTTTTCCATCTTGAAGATGCTGTGCAACCTTCCTATGAAAATCAGCTTCCACATGTGACTTCAGCTGACCATCCAGCAGCATTATTCAGTTTGGAAAATATTGCATTATGATTGGAAAATGTTGTACAAAAGAGTCAATGTAGTTTGCTTGTTACAAGGGTTATGCAAAACTTGATTTTAGATTATGACCAATGAGACCATTGTAAATTTGAGATCTATCGAAGTTAATGCTCGCCCCCTTTCATTCTCTGTGCTTAGAGATTTTACTGGCTTTGCTGTTCTGCTGTTATATAATTACAGCTAACATTGTTATTCTGGCTGTCTTTTTGTGTTTAAGATACTATACAATACTGGCACAAACAGGTAGATTTGTCTGAGTGGATTGTTATACATTAATGTACTGAAAATTTGATGTAGTTGTGGAAGTTACAGTAAATTGTTTTGAAGTCTATGTAACTGATAGCAGCTGCTGAACTGAGATATTCCTGTGAATGTTTAAATGCTTGATTTTAAGGCCTTGTCTTGGAAAGCTAATCTTACAGGACAAAGTTGTTCTGGTATACATGAAGGTAGGTACTGATATTTTATATACTTCTGTGCTGGGATAAATCTATTCTGCGTTTATCTCTTATGCAAGAATAGAATTTGGGTTCAATTTACCTTGAGCAGTTTTCAGAGCAACATAATGTTAAGAAGAAGGTTTTGTGGTAAACTGTGGCTTTGCTTAGGCAAAATATGTAGGTAAAATAACTGTAAAGTGAATAGATATAAGTGTAAATGCTTCAATTTAGGTTGCACAAGTCGTTTAAAGCAAATATGAGTTGGAGATGTAAACTTCAGCGCTGCCAATAGATAGATACTCTTGGGTTCAGTGGGGTTGCTCATGTTCACAATCTGCCTCTTCACCTCACTACATTGTCACTCCTTCTAGCAAGACTAAAATGAGTATGTTATGTTTCATTCTACTGCTACGTGTGCTTTTGGGCTGTGAAATGTGGTCCAAGCGCTGGAGTACCTCTCCCATAAAGAGAGGCTAAGAGGTCTGGGATTGTTCAGCCTGCAGAAGAGAAGCCTTCAGGGAGACCTTAGAGCAGCCTTCCAGTACCTAAAGAGAACCTAAAGGGAAGATGGAGAGGGACTTTTTACCAGGAAGTATAGTAATAGGACAAGGGCTAGTGATATTAAATGTAAAGAGGGTAGATTTAGATAAAGTATTGGGAAGAAATTCCTCACAGTCAGGATGGTGACCTGGACCAGGTTACCTGGAGAAGCTATGGATGACCCGTTTGGGTCATCCGTATGGAGACATTTGAGGCCAGGTTGGATAGGGCCCTGGGCAGCCTGATCTAGAGAAAATTGTCCCTGCCCGTGGCAGAGTGGTTGTAAGGAGATGGTCTTTAAGGTCACAGAATCACCCGGGTTGGAAGAGACCTCAAAGATCATGTAGTTCCAACCCCCCTGCCCAGCAGGGCCACCAAACGTACACATTCAGATCAGGTTGCCCAGGACCCCGTCCAACCTGGCCTTGAACACGTCCAAGGACGGGGCATCCACAACCTCCCTGGGCAGCCCGTTCCAGGGCCTAACTACTCTCCTTGTAAAGAACTGCCCCCTAACATCCAACCTAAATCTTCCCTCCTTCAACTTGGATCCATTTCCCCTAGTCCTGCTGTTGTCAGCCCTTTTGAAGAGTTTACTCCCCTCCTGGGTGTAGGTTCCCTTCAGGTATTGATAGGCTGCCATGAGGTCACCCCGCAGCCTTCTCTTCTCCAGGCTGAACAAGCCCAACTCCCTCAGCCTGTCCTCATAGGGGAGGTGCTCCAGCCCCCTGATCATCTTAGTCGCCCTCCTCTGGACCCTTTCCAAAATCTCAATGTCTTTCTTGTACTGAGGGCTCCACACCTGGACACAGTACTCCAGGTGGGGCCTCACAAGAGGTCCTTTAAGCCCAAACCATTCTATGATTTGTGTAGAAGTATTCATATGCTAATCGTTTTGTTTATTTTTCTGTAGCTTAAGCTTGTTATGAACAGGTGCATGCTGAGCTGGAAAATACTCCAGCCTTGATCTAGAACAAGTAGATCTGCACAGGGACTGATGACTGTGTGTTTATTGTATTTTGTAGTGAAACAAATACTCTGGTGAACCAAAAGCATTATTAACCTAAGTTCTCAGCAGATGAATTCCAAAGTAATCATTTTATTAAGCTTTGTTTTTGTGTGCTAGGGCATAAAGCCCATGTGTCAGATTTGACATTGCTTGGAACTTTTTTCCAGATTGACCATCTATCAATAGAAAAACTCCTAATAGACAGTGTCCATGCAAGATCTCATCAAAAACTCCAGGAGCTGAAAGCCATTCTGAAGAGTTACAATGTTAATGACAATTGTACGTGTTTTCTACCAAAATGTGCTTGCAATCTTTCTCCTTTTATCCCTAGGAATGCTTTCTGTTTTTCTTGTTGTTTCTTGTTCTCATTAATTTGAACAAAAAAAAATATGAATAAAAACGTAGGACAGTATGTTCAATATTAAAAAGATCCAGCTTTAAATTATTCTGCATTGCTAATTAAAATACTCAATGATATCTATCTGTAAACGTGGTGTAATAGCTGAAGTTGCTAGAGTATTATGCTGTGGAAGGGTTGGAAGTTGTCTACTGTAAAACTAGCTTGGAGCTGAAAGCAAATCTTCCAGTGTATTAAACTGACTTTGAGTGAGGCTTCAACTGCTGGTGAAACTGAGATTCAAATTGAGCTTACAATCTTGAAACAGTGAGTTAAAAAGTATTCATGTTGGTTTTTTTATTTAGTCTGGCTTTTCTGCATGGCTTATTATAAGCAGTTTTCACCAAGAAATTACTGTATTCAGTTTCCTCTTCATCTTGAGTATAATAATGTGCAAATGCTTATACTGAATTCAGAACTACTGCAAGTTAAAAATCTTTCCTGTTAAAAGCAAACGTGTTTGGAGATTGTAATGGGCTGAACTTTAACATGATGAACTTGAATTCTGTGGCTAATTATTAACTTTTTTTTTTTTGTTACCGTAGCATTCATTGAGACAGCTCTTCCAACTCTTGTAATTCCAATTTTGGAGCCATGTGGTCGATCAGAGTGTCTGCATGTTTTTGTTGATCTCCATTCTGGAATGTTTCAATTGATGCTCTATGGCGTTGGTAAGTAGGTAAAACAAAGTAGGGTTACAAGATATCAAATACAGCCTGTATTATGAGGTTGTTTTGTGTGAACAGTTCTGTCAAGTCTTTGAAATTCCGGAAGTGAGGGTTAAGCTGATGAGCTGTGTGTTTGAGTGATCTAGATATTTTACTTGAATGTGAATAGATGAGCGGATCTTTGTGTTTATGATACACGGTTCAGCATATCTTATGAGAAGAAGTGACTGTATATTGTTAGACATCATTTGCAATTTTTTTTCCTTAGGGCTTATGTTCCCTAGGCAGAGCTGGTAATGATTCAAGTCATTTCATGTGGATGTGATTGGCCTTAAATATTTTAAGATATTTTTCAAGTCTAACTTAGCATTTAGATTTCTCTCTTTCTGTGTTTGTTTTGTTTTTGTTTTTAGGTAAATTCTTTTGGCTTTTTTGCCTAAGAACATACTACTTTGGTTCCACAAGCATTATGGATCGTTTGTTTTGTATCTTAATTGTAGTTGCTAAGTTAAACAAAACACTTTCATTAGAAGATCAAAAGCTTACTGTTTTAAGAGCAGTTGTTAAGAGTATTTATTCACTTGATATTCTTACAGATCAAGTGACACTGGATGACATAGAGAAGTGTGTTAATGATGATATGAAGCGGATCATTCCTTGGCTCCAGCAGCTTAAGTGAGAGACTTGAGTAATTCATTTAGTTACTATAGAAGGAGTTACCATGTTTGCATTTTGGATGTTTGTACTTGCTTGGCTTTGTGTACTTTTTCTGTGTCCTAAGCAACTTTGAGTATTTGTTGCCTCCTTTAAATGAGTGGAGAAAAAATTTTTGCAGGGTGATGATTGCACAGTCTGCCTTTAGTTTGCCTTCTTGCACATATCCTCAGGTGTTGCTTGCTTGCACGCTCTGCATGAAGTCTTCTCACTTCATCAGGAGCAAACCACTTGCTTCCTGAGGATCTCATTTTGTGTCCATGCTCATTTTCCTTCTCCTTTATTCCATTTTGTTTCTACGGCTGAATTCTTCTTGTTTCTCAGGAAGAGCAATTTCCCTTTTCACAACACAAAGGGAAAGCCAGGAAGGGACCTAGAATGATTTAAATAATACGTTTATCTTCTAATATTTCTGCCCTGGCAGAAGTATTGAACTTCATATCTTTGCTCTTTAGAGCCCTGAGATTTAGGCGCAAGATACGTTTTGCTCTCCCATAAGAGGTTGTAGCAAATAATACAAATACGACTTACATCCACAGAAAAACCAAATTCCACCTGCTCTTTCTTTTTGGAAATTCCCAGTACTCTGAGCTAATTGCAGAGTGAAGCCTCCATTTGGGGGATTTAGTTTCTAAAAGAGGCATGATGACGCATGAAGCACTGGCACCCTGGAGAAACTAATCAACCTCCCTTTGTCATAAATAATGTGCTCAAGATAATGTTTTGGGTAGTGCTGTTGTTTCTGAGTAAGCTAGACAGTCCTATGAAGTGTCTTTTTGGACAATTAATCTCAGATGTTTCTGTGAGAATAAAGATGGTGCATCCTGTTGGACAGACATTGAACAGCCACGCTTTTCACTGCTGCTCTCAGTTGAAGTTTGACTGAGAAACCACGCCATGCATTGCTTCCCTCCTTCAAGCCTAGGTTGGCTTTCTGGTCTTGCCACCATAGTTGAAATCAATCTGAGTAGACTCAAGTTTAATTCCATGCATCAGAATAAGTTTGTTTGTCTTGCTGGGGTTCTTTACTTCCAAACTTATTCAATGGAATTAGGTTGTTTTTATAATGTGATCAAGAGTGATATTAATCCATTTTAGGTGACCTTCTTACTGCCTTGTTCATCAGCACGCGGGAGCAAAGATTTCTTTTTTCTATATCCAAAATAACAGGAGATTCTAAATCATATAATGTGCTTGTTTTATATCTTGTTTATTCTTTTTATATTGCAATTTTATATTGGAATATAAGTATATATTTATATTCATTCAATAAATAATTTCAAGGCTTTTCTTCATAAACTAGCAGCTATCTGTGTCCCAAGCTGAAAGAAGTATGTAAATATAGCAATAAGGAAATACAAACTCAGCAGGAAAAAAAAAAATCTGTTTAACTGTGTGTAGCTTGCGCAGCAGTATTAGATGTTGTTTTAGATTATGGATGGCTCCTAGTGTGACACTAAAATAATTTAAAACAATCTCAAAGTACTAATGCCTTTATTTCAATGCAAGGTTCTGGCTTGGACAGCAACGTTGCAAACAGTCAATAAAGCATCTGCCTACAGTGAGCAGTGAAACACTTCAGCTAGCTAATCATGCTAGCCATCCAGTGGGAAACCTTTCCAAACACAAATTGTTTATCAAACTCACTCGTCTTCCACAGTACTACATTGTAAGTATCTGAAAAATACTTCTTATCTTCTCTCCTCAGGCAATTTGTAATGGTAACTCTAAGATTAGGAAGAAAGTTAATTGCTGTAATCCTTGTGGGTTTGTTAGGCAGTCAGGCTCATAAAGAGGAGGGGGACATAAACGTTTGTTACTCAGCAGCCTTCATGTTCTCTTTATATTCCTGAAATTCTAGTCTTTCTCTTCTTGGATCCCTTTTGTAGCCACCGTATTAGTATCTTAAAAAAGAGGGCTGTGTTTTCCTGCAGAAACTGGGGGAAGAATAGAAACTGATGTAGGCATAACCTCAATTGATGGTCTTGTTGATTTTGTTATTTTGTTTTAATGCAGGTTGTAGAGATGTTTGATGTTCCTGGCAACCCCACAGAACTAGAGTACAAGTACTACTTCCTCTCAGTGAGCTATGCTGAAGGAGATGACAACCCTGCTACTGCACTTCTGTTACAGCAGTTCAAGCCAAACATTGAAGAGTTGGTACTAGATACAAAAAGTGGGAAACAAATGAAAAGTGGTGTCAAGCGCAAGGTATGCATTTCAAAAGCCTTCAGGCTCGTTCTAAAGAGTGGAAGCCAAACACATGTTCTTAGCATCATTACCAGCTTTAGTGCAGCTGTTTCAAAGTTTGTGTGGCTGACAGCTTACACTGAGGCTTAGTAGGGCTGCTTCCCCAGGGAGTTACAGGGAAACTATTTTCCAACAGTTATCATCTTTGAATTCATGCCAAACCTTCTTAGTTGGTCTAAAAGAAAGCCAAGGGAGAGCACTGTACAGAGGTAGTTAGCATAGCTTGTATTAGCAAAGCACTGCTATCAGCGTGATATGCTTTGTGCCATAGAAGTGTAGTCTTTGAAAGACTATGGGGAGACTATGGGGACCCACAGGAGTTGCTTCTTGGGGCCGGGTTGACCTGGCTTACTGGTGTGTAAATACTGTTTGGAGGAAGGAGGTGATTATAAAATTACTTCAAATTAATTGCTGTAGTCCTGAAGTTGACCCTTTAGGAATTTTTCTCAGTGTGTGTTTCATTTAAAATTCAGATGAATTAGGTGGTTGGCTGACATCTGCTCAAAATGTTTACTCCAAAATGTGCAAGAGTATTTATTTGTCTTTATTTTAATTCTAGTTGTCTGGTGATCCATGTTCCATAGAACCTAAGAAACCAAAACGGACGGGAGAAATGTGTGCCTTCAATAAAGTCCTAGCTCATATTGTAGCCATGTGTGATACAAACATGCCATTTATAGGGCTTCGTTTGGAGGTATGTATTAAGAAATATTTTGTTTGGTTCTTCTCTTCTGCTGCTCGTGACTCTTTTGTCCACACGTTCTCTAAACAGTTACATCTAGACATGTTCACTTTGTAGTCCCTTTCTAGATGAGTCTGGGTAGCTGACGTTCTACTTCGGGTTGCTCTAGTCTTGTAGCTGGTTCTCTAATATCAAGCACTAACTGCAGAAGACTTCAGAAGCTGTGGGAAAAGGAAAAATGAGAGGATGAAAGAGAGGCTTGTGGGAGAGCATGAGAAAGAACTTCTTACCACATTTACACAACCTGGTTTTTGGCTTTCCAGTGCTAGAGGATATGAAATATCTGTCATCCTTAGCAAAAGAAAATACTAATAATAATAATAATAATGAAAACCCTTGAGAAAGCTGCACTTACTTTGCTTGACTTTTTTTGCATGAGATAACCTTTTTCTTGTTCATTTGTAGTTATCCAATATGGACATTCCTCACCAAGGAGTACAAGTAGAAGGAGATGGCTTTAGCCATGCCATACGTTTATTAAAGTAAGGGGATATACTCCTGTTTGATTTAATTACTGTACATATGCTTGTGAGAAAAAAGGATTGTTCAGAGATTAACACTAAAAATGTTGTGGGGGCTGGGATTTGGAGGGAGTTGATTTGTTTCACTGTTGTGTGTTTTGCATTCTTGTTTGAAGCAGTGGTGTACAAAGAAGAAAGTAAGAATACGCTCAAAGCCAGCTATTGTTTGTTTTTCTCATTAGCTTAAACCAGGGTGCTCTGAAAACAATCTCTGACAGTCCTCAATTGTAACATCCAGGCAATGCTAAGGAATCTACAGCATTGTGGTGACTGATGCATTTGTAATTGCAATTTTAGATCAGGTCAGAGACCTGCTTACTCCATATGTTATTAACAATGACCAGTATGTGAGACTGCAGAGGAAAATGCAAGGGAGCCCAGAAAAGGCAATTGCATGGTTTAAGAACTTGTGAAGGAAACATCTGGGGCTCTTACGGTAAAGAGTGACATGGACCTCTGGAGGTCACCTGGTGTAGCCATCTGCTCAAAGCTGAATTTTCCAGTCGCCAAGGATTTATGGCACAGAGACCTCCAACGCTGACCAGAGGGGAGTAGTCATTTGCTTTGACTGTCTCAGCTAATGCTAATACAGTCTGGGATGCAGTGGTCTGGCACTGCTGCAACGACATGCTGCTGACTCCTGTTCAGCTTCTCGCTCGGGCCCCCAAGTTCTATTTCTGCAGAGCTACTATGCAGCCAGTCAGCTCGCACCCTGTGCTGCTGCACAAGGTTATCTTTTGCCCAGTGCAGGACTGCATTTCTTTTTGCTGAACTTCATGAGGTTTCTGTTAACTCATGCCTTCAGCCAGCTGAGGTCTGTCTAAATGGCAGCCCTGTCCTCCAACGTGCTGAGTGCTGCTCCCTTCTGTTTGACATCACCTGTGTATTCCTTGACATCATGTAGATTGTTGAAGTTAAATATTATTGGCCTCTGTATTAACTCCAAGGAGTGCCAACCATATGCAGCCACCAATTTGACCTGGAACTTTTGGCCACAGTGCTTTCTATCATCAGTCCAGCCAGTTTTTGACATTCCTTGGGGCTTACCTCAAGCCTCACCGGTTCAACTTCAGGTTGTGTTATGAAGTAAAATAAATTATATCAATTTTACAGCAAAGAAACAACAGCAAATGCCACCAAACCCACAGTTTTCTGAAGTGTAAAATAAACTGCTTAACTTTTTCTACTCTGCTGAGATACATTGTGGTATAAAGGCATCAGTCTTCAAATGCATCAGTCTCTACCTTTTTAACTGCAGACAAGTAAGCTGGATTTAGGGATGCTATATGACATTTCTGAAATAAACTCAATTTGTAGAGAAGTTAGGCATATTTTTACTTCAGCTTTGTTTACTGTGTCCTCTAAATTCAATTCTCGCATTGGCATATGAGTAAATTAGTGGGCATTAAGATAATTGCTAGGTTACTCATTGCATTTAAAGTGAACTTGTTCAGAAGGAGACCTGATACACAAATTCAGGTTGCCACAGAATTTTATTTTCATTTGTTTTAGCTTGTTTCTCTGTATAAAAGCTTTATATTAGTGTGCTCCTACTTTTATCTGGAGATCAGGGCAGTTCAGCGGTTCCATCAAAAGTCTGTAATTTGCAAGTGTTGAATCCGTATAAAAATTGGTCTTAACTCACTGTGCTTTTATAACACACAATCCTTGAAGAGGAGTAAGGTCTCCAACTGTGTGGTCCAGCTGTCTGTCTTACTGTTGATTATTCATTTTTTTCATGTCCAGACACATAAGTCCTTCAGGAAATGTTAAAAGGTGTTATTTTTCAGTTTGGGGACTACACTGTGTGCAACTGAGGTCCTCTTTTCTTCACAAATAGAATTCCTCCCTGTAAAGGTGTAAACGAGGAAACACAGAAGGCTCTGGACCGATCTCTTCTTGATTGCACTTTCCGATTACAAGGTAGAAATAATCGCACGTGGGTCGCTGAGCTGGTGTTTGCAAATTGTCCACTTAATAGCACCTCATCCAGGGAGCAAGGTAAGAGAGGTCAGGTAAACCTTGTGTCTTTATCCTACGTGTTGTCTGCTCCAGTATCATTATGATCTTTTTGCGTTAAGGGACAACTATCTACTCTTAAAATTTCTAAGGAGCCACAGTGCACCTTTATCAAACACTCTTGACTGTTGAGTTGATTCTTTTTTATTATTTAAGTATGCTTCCTGGACTCTCTCCACAGTTAAATCATAGTCTGTAAACCCCAGTTTAGGAACCACTTGTTTAATTAGTATTTACTGTTCTAACCCTGTAGGACCAACCCGTCATGTTTACCTTACATATGAAAACCAGTTATCTGAACCAGTTGGAGGTCGCAAAGTTGTTGAGATGTTCCTCAATGACTGGAACAGCATTGCTCGGCTGTACGAATGTGTCCTGGAGTTTGCACGGTCCTTACCAGGTACAGAAATAGCCTCCTTTTCTTTAAAAATTATATTTACAGATTACTGTGGTTTTCTCATGCTCTTTTCTCTGCTCTCTTCAAAGACATACCCAACCACTTAAACATTTTCTCAGAAGTTCGTATCTACAATTACCGAAAGCTTATCCTTTGTTATGGAACTACCAAGGGGAGCTCAGTAAGTAATTCCTAAGTCCACTTAAAATGTGTATTTGAGAACACATTGGGCGGGCCTGGAGTTCTTAGAATTGCAACAAAATATATCCTGGTATTGTGTTATTATGGAATTAATATTATTCAATGTAAAAAAGACAGAAATAAAGGGCTCTGGATTAGTAATTTGCTAGATTCTTTCTTGTCTAGAATTTTTGACAATCTGTTCAATGTACTTCAAACTGTGGGAAGGAGAGTTGATCCTTCTCCTGGCATCATTGATCTGTCAGCATAGCTTACGGTTGGTGAAGGCTGGTGTAGCAGCTGTGTTCAAACTTATGATGTGTTGCTACTGCTGTTATATTGGGATGTATGAATCTTCTAAGCTTAATGTTGCTTTAGAGAAATGACTCAGTTTTTTAAATGTAGTATTGTGCTTTTAAATGGGACAATCCCTAATTATTTTGTAGCAGTACTGTTCTCTTGATCAGAAGTCTAGCTTACTCTGTAGTGTTTGAATTTACAGCGTATTAATGACTTTGTCTACTGTCCGTGTGCTTGCTCACTCCCTTGCACTACATGCAGGGCAAGGAATGAAGTAACCACATTTATTACAGACTAATAATATAGTTGAGTGTGCTCTGATGCAAAGTAGTTGATGCACTTGAAATTTGCATCCTGGAAATTCTTTGTGTTCATATTTTTTACAAGTATTTCTATGTGTATTTTATTGTGACTGTTAGTCTTAGTAAGCAATGAGAGTAGCATTGTAGATTTTGTGTGTCACTTCCTTACATATTAGCTTGTCCAGTTCTTTTTTTTTGTGACATGGTGGAGATAATCAGTCCACTTCCAGCAACTCTTGATCAGTTCTCTGTGGTATGAGTCTCTCATGTTTAATTTCTTCAGTCTCAACTCTGTCAGAAAAGGCACTTGTTCGAGTTGATTGACTTGCTGAAGTAACTGTCTGGTTTGATGGTTGTCAACAATCCAGCTAACTAAATAAGTTATGCAAAAGCTAACAGAAGTCTTTCCAGAACCTGAACGGTGAGTTAGGAATCTGAGGTTTTGTGAAAAAGGATAAAAGTGAGATCAGACCAGCTTTCTTGTAATAACCTCTTGCTTCTAGTTTCCAAGGTCTTGTTCTTAATGTTGCAGATCAGCATTCAGTGGAACTCCATACTCCAAAAGTTCCACATTTCACTGGGAACTGTTGGCCCAAACTCAGGTTGCAGTAACTGCCACAACACAATCCTGCACCAGCTCCAGGAGATGTTTAATAAAACACCAAACGTGGTGCTGCTGTTACAGGTAATGTTTTAAACGCTTCCCTCAGGAAAAGTCCAAGGTGACTAAGAGGTGATTGCTGATTAAACTGTTATCTTCAAAATTACATGTGTGTATTGATTATGAATCTCCTTGGCAGAAGGTGACTTGGGAAAGATAGTACCTTTCCTGCCTCTATTATATCTGTCCCCACCCAGCCCAGATTTGTGCAGACTTTTACTTGACGGTAAGCCGTCTGGTCTCTCAATATCTGTTCTTTTTCAGGTTTTGTTTGACACTCAGGCTCCATTAAATGCCATCAACAAACTTCCAACTGTGCCCATGCTGGGTCTGACTCAACGCACTAACACTGCCTATCAGTGTTTCTCGATTTTGCCACAGTCACCTACGCATATCAGGCTGGCTTTCAGGAACATGTACTGCATTGACATCTACTGCCGGAGCCGTGGCGTTGTAGCGATACGTGATGGAGCATACAGTCTTTTTGACAACAGCAAAATAGTTGAAGGTTTTTACCCTGCACCTGGATTAAAGGTGACTGTTTCCAAGTTGTTTTTAAGTTGGTGTTTCGGGTAACTAGAGATATTTCATATTACTAAGCAAGGCTTATTGTTTGGTGATGATAGAAGACCCCTTTTTGAAGGAAAGGAGGATGGCTGTGAATTGAACTTGAAGATCCACTTTCCACAGAAAAATTCTGTTTATGAATTCATATATTTTATAAACTTTATATACTATGTGTAATGAATGCTTACTAGTGGTTAGTTCTGCTTCTGCTAATGACCTGTGGTCATTCATGTAATACAATGCAAATGGAAAAAAACTGTTTACTAACAAAACCTTTTTATCCACAGACATTCCTGAACATGTTTGTTGACAGCAACCAGGATGCACGAAGACGGTCTGTAAATGAAGACGATAACCCGCCCTCTCCTATTGGAGGTGACATGATGGATTCTTTGATATCTCAGCTTCAGCCACAGCAACCACAGCAACCACAGCAGGTAGCCTACAGACAAAAGTTAAAAATGTTTAGTTTAGTCTTCCTCAAATTTTTTAAGATTACTTTCTGGAATAATTGGCAGTGAAGAATTGAATGGGAGACTATAAAAGTGTTACATGATGGAATTTCCCTTGGGGCAAAACATTAATTTGTCATTTTTTATTCCAATGTAAACAGCCCGTAGCAGATGACCAGCAACTTTAAAGTGTCATATGAGACTTGCCATTTTAGAAGCAAAGCTTTGATGGAGGGTGGGAAAATGGCTGTTGAGGATGAAAGATGAGGGGCAGGGAAGGGAAGGGGAAGAGTCAGGAGATTTCTCTGTACAGAGTGGTGGATAAGGAAGGATGAGATACAGAGACATTTTTGTCTTGAAAAACTATAAAATAATTAAAAAAAAAAATAGTGTGTTGTGAACAAGGTGGTATAGGGAATTGAATAAAGCATAGATAAAGATCAAACTCTCACTAGTATTCTCTTGCACTCAGTTTTTGTTCGAAATGATGAAAGACTTCTGTTGTCTTTGTTAACACTTTCAGCCGTTTGCAAAGCAGGCAGGAGCATCAGGAGCATATCCTCTTACTTCACCACCCACCTCCTATCACAACACAGTGACACCTTCTCCATCTATGATGCACACACAGTCACCAGGTGAGATGGCTGAGAATTTGTGAGCTAATCATACTGAAAATACACATGCAGCTTTTTGTGCGTGCATCCTGCTTTCTGATATTCAAGCTGTGTTTAGCTCCAAGTTAGTCAAGTTAATATACTTTATAATTTGAAAGAACAACAAAGCAAAGTCCTGCTGTGCATGTTTTGAAGGGTGTATTTCAAAGCATAAAAAATTGGCAGAAGTGTGGCTATATAATCTTTGAGACTGTTTTATTCTTAAGGTTTATAGCTTGCTCAGTTAAAACCTGATCATTTTAAATGCCTCCTCCTTCAGAAAAGCTTTTAATCACCAAAGCTTAGCTTTCTGTTTCCAACTGTTACAGTGCAACAGTTGAATCTATTTGAATTTAGGGGAGGGGAAAATGCCATTTTTCAAGTCAGGTATCTTGTAAAGCTTCGTGTGTGTGCTGAATTCCTCTGGAAAATATAATCTTCATGCATGTACAAAATACAGCCTTTTAGTGCAATTAGAAAATCCTCGTGAATTTTGTTTCCCGACTCCCTCAAATGAGGGAGCTGTAGCAATTGGTAGAAAAAAAATGGGAAATGTGTATGTCATGATGTGATATCTTTGATCAGGAAACTTGCATGCTGCGAGCTCACCTAGTGGAGCTTTAAGAGCACCATCACCAGCATCCTTTGGTCCAACTCCTTCACCTTCTTCCCTTGGAATTACAATGGGTCAAACAGCAAACTTTGCCAGCCCACACGGTGAGTTCCTTACTGTATGCAGGGACAGGGAGAACACATTTGCTGCTCAAAATTAACTCTTCCTGGGCATAATTAAATGGGGGGGGAAAAAAAATTTCATAATTGACTTAAGTAGCTGTTTTTATACGTGTGTAACTGTTAACAGCAGTCAAAAGTCGCTGCATGGCACAGATTGCAATCAGTGAAGGTTCAGATGGTTATTTTAGCACCCCAATAAAACCATGGAGATGAACTAAGTGAAATAGATATACAGTAGACAATTTAAGAAGCTTGCTCTGATCAGCCTTGTGATAGAGTATTACACCAAAGGTACTTTTGCAGAGATAATTCCAAGATAGAGCTTAGATTAAGAACATCTTCAGCTGGAGGCTTCATCCCCAGCTGAGGCTTTCATTTGTTGAGGAGCAATAGAAACATCTATATGCAAGAGCTCTCTTTAGTTTCATCCCAGTTGTGTTAAAAGGTATTGATTTGCCTTAATGTTCTATTTTATTTTATTTTGAAAAACACAAGCAGAAAACCCTTAAATTTCTATCTTGTTTTTTTTTCATCTGCCCACTTAGTACAGATGTAAAATAAATTCTGAAAGACTGAAGGCGTCTTAAAATTGTGTAGATTTTGCAAGTATTTTTTAGTTTAGTAAGCCTTGAATTTTTTTTTTAAGATGATGGTCTTGTAATATCTGCAGGTACCATAGATCCAAGCTCACCATACACCATGATGTCACCCAGTCAGCGTGCAGGGAACTGGCCAGGATCTCCCCAGGTTTCTGGTCCATCACCAGCAGCACGGATGCCTGGAATGTCACCAGCCAACCCTTCCCTTCATTCACCTATCCCAGATGCCTCTCATTCTCCTCGAGCTGGAACAAGTAGGTTGCATTATTAGCATTACAATTGTGAAACATTCATGTTTAGCATTTCTAGTTCTGGGCATTTTTGGTAGGTTTGTGTCTCAACCTAACAGTGCTTTCTTTCTTTGTGTAGTAAAATAGGTAAAGAAATGAAGCCTTTATTCTGGACCAGTTCAAGTATTCTATAGCAAACTAGAAAATGAGTTGAATCATACAGCATTAATGTCAGCAGGATCGATGCCCTTGAAATACAAAAGTTAGTCTTAAACTATTGGGCTACGTGACTGCGAGAAAAATCTTTGGAATGAAAACAGTGATATTTGCCTACCAAAATAACTTCTCATATTATGGAGCTGTAATGCTTCTCTTGCAAGTTTGATCTAGTTGTCTTTAGATCTCATTCAGTTTGTTGTATCTGTGATATCTGCTAGCACACTGAAGAAAGAGGATAAGGGAACATGCGTGAATGTTACTGAGACTTTGCACCAATCAAGGGTTGAAGCTCTGATGCTTCGACTTTGGCTCTGTTGCTATTACTAGGCAGCTAGATGCTCAAATAAGAAAGATTAAGCTTTGGCCCACGCTGGTCATTGCTTGAGTACTGATAGCAAATCAAGTGAATGCACATCTGAGGTTTCGACTTAAATTCTTCTGTACTGCAACTACTTTTTTCTTACTAATAGGTTCCCAAGCAATGCCAACAAGCATGCCTCCACCTCGTAAACTACCTCAGCGTTCTTGGGCTGCATCCATACCTACAATCCTCACCCACAGTGCCTTGAATGTTCTGCTGTTGCCCTCTCCTACCCCTGGGCTCGTGCCAGGACTAGCTGGCAGCTATCTTTGCTCCCCGCTTGAGCGATTCCTTGGATCAGTTATTATGAGGAGACATCTTCAGAGGATCATACAACAGGAAACGGTATGCTTTAGGATGTTTTAACATTGATTTGCAAATATCAGTTTGGAGGTGTTCATCTTAGTGCTTCTGTACTCCACATCTCCAATTAGATACAGACTGAAGCACTTCAAATATCACAAGTGTTTGCTATTAGATTTGTTCTGCTATACTTCTGAATATTCCAATCTCAAGTATCAAAATTTAGAGAAAGTATTTAGTTCAGTTTCCTTTCCATGCAAGCAAGAACTGGGAAACCTATTCGGTCAAGTGAAATACAATAACTGACATAATAACTGATGCTTTGGTTTCTGTGAGTTTAGTATGTCAACTGTGAGTTAAGTAGAACAGCTGGAGGTTTACTGTGGATGTCTCTCCTTGGCAGGAATGTCTGAGGAAGTAGTTAGCAATCGACGACGACTCAGTCCTGAATGTTGCTTTAGGGTTGGAGACAAACAGTGTCACCTCTTTGCTTCATTGGCATTCTTTAAGTGATGAAGAAAAAGCCAAACCCTGCAGAGGGTTCATTCTCAAGGCAGATTTACCTGTATGTAAGAATCACATTTCTTTCTGGAAACAGCATAAGTTGACCTCTACAGTCTTGAGAGTGAATGTGTGTTTTCATGCTATTTAATGAACAAGTCATTGAATGTGATGCTTCTTTTTGTACAGCTACAGTTAATAAACTCCAATGAACCAGGTGTAATCATGTTTAAGACGGAGGCACTGAAGTGCAGGGTTGCACTCAATCCCAAAACCAACCAGACCTTGCAACTCAAAGTAACACCTGAAAATACAGGACAGTGGAAATCGGAGGAATTACAAGTTTTGGAGAAGTTCTTTGAAACAAGAGTATGTACTCAGATCACCAATGTTTACATTTTTGTGTATTCCTTTCAGTCTCTCAGCATTGGTTCTGCTGAGTTTCTTTGGGTTACGTAAGGGCTGCAAAATACAAAAATTTAACAGCTGTGTATGCTTGTTACCATATTAAATGATACAGCTGTTATCTAAATAGGCAGTACTAATGGGTATCTTTCTTTAGGTTGCAGGACCTCCTTTTAAAGCAAACACCTTAATAGCCTTCACAAAATTATTAGGGGCTCCAACGCATATCCTCAGGGACTGTGTTCACATCATGAAACTTGAGCTGGTAAGTTAGCCTCTATTTAGTTCAATCAACTTTGGTTACTATATTTGGGAAGGAAAAAAAAAAACCAAAACCTTATCTATGAGATCACAAATTACTTTCTGTATATGTTACCTAGTGTTAATAAAGAAGGTTGTGTTTCACTATTAGCTCTTCTGGAAACTCCCCAAATTTCTCCCTTTAGCTAATGATTTCAAGAAAGTGCAGGTGTGTTAGTGCACACTGGACACATAGGTAGCCTGGCTGGAATCTTCATCACTGTGTTCTTGTTGTCGGCTATATTCTCAGTTCTTTCAGAGTTATTTTGACTTGTGCTGAACTTGGAAACATCTGTTATTTAGAGGAAGAGTCTGTTTTCTAACTCTTCCCTCGTCTGTAGACATATATGTCACTAAACTTTGCTGTTTTTTCTCTGTGATGCTCTTTCTAAACAGTTCCCTGATCAGGCAAGTCAGCTGAAATGGAACGTGCAGTTTTGTTTAACAATTCCTCCCAGTGCACCACCAATTGCACCTCCAGGAACTCCTGCTGTTGTGCTGAAATCCAAAATGTTGTTTTTTGTAAGTAGGGCTGTTTTAAAATTTTGAGGACTGCATATCTTTGAAATCACCACTGGTTAGGGACGAAACATAGACTGTGTCTGATGATCACAGGAGCTAAAAACGTCAAGCATGGACTTGCATATATCTCTTTAGTAATGCCTCGCTCCTGTAAAAGCACAACACCTTCTCATGTTTTGTGCTCTTGGCAATATATCCTAAAGCTGGGCTGCAGATATCTTTGTGTGCTCAACTTTTGATTATTTTGCTCTTTGAGACACTTACTGCCTGACACTTACTGATACATAGCAGTGGTTCTGGGGAAGGAGAGCACAAATGAGATTATTAGAACAAATATGTAGGTGTCTTCTCTGAAGCAGTGCTCAGTGTAGGGTGATTTTGAGAATGAGAGAGTGTACCATTCCACCCTCTCAGTTTTCAGACACTTCTGTAACAGAGAAGTTATCATTCAGGTGTAAACTATCTGTAGGTCCAGATTGTTTAACAAAATGAGAAGCTGTGATGAAGTATGTTGCTAATTGAACACGCTTTGTTTTTTTTCCCTACAGCTCCAGCTAACACAGAAAACAACAGTCTCACAGGAAGCTGTTAGTATTATTGTCCCAATTATTTATGATATGGCTTCGGGTACAACTCAACAGGCTGACATTCCCAGGCAACAGAATTCTTCTGTTGCTGCTCCAATGATGGTTAGCAATATTCTAAAGAGGTTTGCTGAACTGAATTCACCACGACCAGGTACTGTACATGTCCAGTAGATATATTCTCTCCACCCAGACATCTGTGACAAATCTCCAGTGTAAAACTAAATCTCTCTAAGTCTGAATTCTTCTTGGTTCCTGTCATACTTCTTTAGTGATCACAAACTCCTGATATGACAGGCAATACGTAACTTATTAGCAAGCACTGGCAGTGCAGCAGACTTCTATGCCAGAAGGTTACACTGGTGATTCAGGCTGAATATCACTGTCAAAGTATCACTCCAAAGTAATAGAATGCACCTCTTGTTGGCCCAAATCTTCCTGCACAGTAGGAGTTCTTAACAAATGTGCCCAGAATGAATCACGATAAATATTCTGTGGTCAAGTGTCAGTTTTCATGCTTAACTATAAAGTTATTAAGCTTAACAGTAGAATATAAGGGAATGTTAAAATAGTTATCATAACTCGTCCATGTGCTGTGAATGGTGAAGAAGTAATTGGTGTGACTGTATACATCTTTGTCAGTGGGTCCACTAGCAAAGGTGTCTACAGTTCTGCTCACCAAACGTACTGTGAAGTGTTTGAGCTCAATAGCTTGCTCTGAGTGTTCATTGGCCCGTAGGTAGGTAGTGCACTGGGAGCAACTTTGCTTTCCCTTGTTACACTTTTTATCTTTTTTAATATATGGCAACACTGAAGAGCAGTAGCAGGTTCTTTGGGCAGTATGTTGTCTGTGAGCATGGTTTGAAAAGCTAATACTCAAATGGCTTACAAGAACAAAAACTTTCAGTTCTGCTGTAGTTGCACACTGAAGAACAAAGCATTTTTTTTTAATAACCCACTGAATAGTTTGAAGTTGTGAATCCAGAGGTTGAATTCTACTTCTACTCTGTGTAATTATTCATCTCATTACGTGGTGATTTTAACTGTGCCTGATGGTTTGTTTTGATTGCTAGAACATGAGTAATGTTTATCTTAAATTGGTGTGGATATGCATAAGTTTTGGAGAACTGTGATGAAATTTAATTAACAAGCATTTCCTGTTTGACATGTAGTAATAGTGTAGGTAAATTAGGGAGGGTAGCTTCAAGCTTGCTTGTAAGAGTTCTGTATAGGATAGGATAGAACAGTTGGTTAAATAGCTCTTTTATTTCAAGATACTTTGTCTAAATAGCAGGTGTTCCTTTTGGAAGGTGCTTCCCCACTGAGTTCCTCTAGGGAGGGAAGGAGCAGATGCTTGTTTTGCTGTTTATTATTGCAGTCAATTGTGTTTAAGGTAAACCCTCCATAGAATCCTACAGCTTAGGGAGTCAAAGCAGCTCTTGAGTATCCCAGGTGCATGTCTCCTGGCAATGGTTGGGTAGATGAGGAGAGACAGTTTTTGTTTGTCACGCCAGCTGAAGTAAATGGGGAGTGCAGGCAGCAGAGTACAGATAGGAAAAACTACAGATGGAGCTTGTGGCTCAAGCAGGATCTTATCCAGGGAAAAAAGATTGTAGCAAGCTAAGCAGAGGATAATTCTGATAGGCTTTCCTCTAATTTCTGAAAGAAAGGATGAGTCTCTATTGATCTCTCTCACCCAAAGCAGGGTGTTTCCTGACGACACTTAAATTGCAATTTCATGTGTTCTTGCTGTCAAAACTCACATTGCTGTATCTGACAAAAGAGAACAAGATGCCTTCTGTTCTTTAACACTGAATGAAATGGGAGAGCCAACAGATGATAGCAGATAGTTGGGAGACTTTTACAACAGCAGTACATGAGAGATCCCAGATATCCTTTCTGTTGGGACACTACTGTGCTGTGCTCAGGATTTTCCTACCTGTGTTAGGTCTTCTGCTGCCCTATTTGCAATTTGCATGGTTAAGTGAATTTTTCACTCTCAGTCAGAAAAGGTGAGGGCTTCCCACCGAGCACATATGATATTACTGACACTGTCATTGTAACCCGTAATCAGTGTTGCCTCATTTTGGCTGTATCTATCTTTTTTACCTTTCTCTCTTTGTGAGAAAGTATTTTGTATTCAGCATAATTTTCCTCCTAATAAAATGGCAGTAACTGAAAAGGAAGTTCTTTTGGAAGAGTTTTATTTTCAGATCTGTGGGCAAGCACGTGATGCTGCGTTTCACAGTAGAACGCTGACTCATTGCCAGTGCACTGTCCTTCTGACATACTCTGCCAGTACCTCCCCGGGGGAAGAAAAAAGCTATTTTATTTTTGGGCAGTAGTTACACGTGAACCGAGATGGAATCAGTGTCCTGGAGTGATACAGAGTTAAGCTTGAGCTGTGAGCCTCCAACCTGTGTCCTGCAGCGGGCTTCCATCTGGTAGGAAAGTCCCTGCAGCTGCAGGAGATGACCCCTACAGAGGAGCTCCAGGGACTTGTGTGGTGTCTCTTAAAATGCTTCACCACCCAGTTTGCTGAAGTCTGGTTGATAGTGATGCAGTGGATGGCACTTAGCCCTGATTTGTATCTTTGCTATGATAATGACTTGCCCTAAACAGTCCTGGGAATCTTTAGTTTGGCAGTTAGGATTAATGCATCCTCGCAGGCTCTGCTCTGATCTCCTTGTTCACGCTGCTGCTTCTTCAGCAGCAAAATTCAGACTCTTTTAATGGACGTTTCTCCCAATATGCAGGAAAAAATTGTGACAGGGAACAGTAGAGGCTATTAATTGTATTCTCTTAGCAGGATGCTCCTCGTGCTGGGCTACGAGGGCAGTAGTGGCCACGCTTGAAGCACGCCAGCAGGCAGAGCGTTGGCCCAGCTCAGAGGGGGCACGAGTAGCGTGCTGCCTCCCCTGCCCGATAGAGTTAAGCCCTGCCTGTTGCTCTGCCGTTGCGTGTGATGCTAACATGTCTCTTTTCCCTGTTCCAGGTGAATGCACAATATTTGCAGCCGTTCGGGATTTGATGCTTAATCTTACGCTGCCCCCTGGTGGGCGTCCATAGACACTTTTAAAAGAAGGCTGAAAATGAGACAAAACAGCAAAAAAATAATAAAAAAAATACAAAAATAAAAAAAAATCTCTCTGAAATTAAGCCTTCAATTAAAAGAGGACGTTTAATTTTACTTTTTTTAAGAGCTAACTATAAAAAATGGCAAACTTTCAGGGATGCACTTTCATCAAATGAGTATCACCACGACTTTTGTATAGTGCTGTTGTATAGTGTGTTTTGATGGGAGACACTTCAGACTAGGAAATAGATTGAAGTATCAGCTTGCTGGTAATAGATTTACTATTCTGTTTTATACTATACAGAGTATGAAGATGCCAAACTTGTTTGTTTTTTGTTTTTCTTATGTTTTGGTGTAATAGTCTTTTTTTAAGGCAGGTCTGTCATTTTTGAATACTGTAAAACTGTGACAAACTTTATATTGAAGCTGTATTTTAATATGACTGCTTTGAATCCTTAAACAATTTATTTGGGCTTGTTGTAAACATGTCCCCAAGAAGCAATATTTAATAAACTGGATTAAAAAAAAAATCTTAATCTGGATGTTGTATAATCTTAAACGTTATTCCTCGCTGCTCTAGTCACTGGACAGATCTCTTGTATTCACATTTACGTGGCTATCTATTATCATCTTTCCCCTGTGTGCTGCTAACACACACAGGCTGCCCAGAGAGGTTGTGGATGGTCCTTGGAGGTGCTCAAGGCCAGGGTGGATGGGGCCCTGGGCAGCCTGGTCTGGTATTAGATATGGAAGTCGGGGGCACTGCATGTGGCAGGGGGATTGGAGATTCATGATCCTTGAGGACCCTTCCAACCTGGGCCATTCTGTGATTCTGTGATCTTACTGTAAAAGCAGGTAAGAAAGATAGAAGCTTGAAGCGTATGCCCTGAAGTTGGAGAGGATGATCCAAAAAAAGCTGAAGATGACCAAAAAAAAACCAAAACAAAACCAAAAGAACACAGAAGCTAGCTCACATTTAATATTTGAATTGGATTTAGATAAGTTGGTCAGCAATGACAAAGAGCTCTTATAATGAAAGAAAAATTCTGTCTTTAAGAATTAACCTGTCATTTAATCATTTGTCCACAGGAATTCATATTCTCCAGTTTTTAATGAGTTCAGCTTGGTTTCCTGTCTTGAAAGTGTAGCATTCTTCAGCCCTGCCTTACTGCGCTTGCACAGCTGTCCGCTCCCCACTTAGCTGATGGGTGCATAAAACTAATTTTAGCAGTGATTTTAGTGGAGGGTTGTTAGGGCAGTATGGTCAGGTTGTGGTTGGGCTTGATGATCATTAAGGTCTTTTCCAACCTGAGCGATTCTAATCTTTTTGTGGGTATCTTCCAGCTTACCTTGTTGTCTTTGAGGCTCCTGTTGCCCCCACATCCATCACAAGGTTTTGTTCTCTAGTCTTGAATGTGTCTGTGTCAAAGCTCTTTATATTGTAAATTATAAATGTATAAGTATTATAAAGTGTATCATTATAAATCATCTTTTCATTAGTGTTGACTTCAGATTTCAGCCTTGAAATGGGTTTTGAGTGTTGGTACTCAGTATTCTAACTTGTATCTATCCTCTGGTTACACAGCTTTTCTGCAATACTAAACTGCTGCAGTTACTCAATTGGAGAGCTGGTGTATTTCTGTCTGTCTCAACTAAACTAATGGTATAAAATAGAGAGGCAGTAGAACGATGTCAGAAAAAAGGAGTGGATATTCTGCTGCCTGCTAGTCTGGATTGGAGGTCTGAGCATTCCTATGCCAAAAAGCAGCTTTCTGACCCAGGGAAATTCTGCTTTTCTTTGCCCACGCTGGCACAAGAGTGTTCCTGGGGAAAAAAGGCTCCACTGAACGTCAGGCACTTGAAAATGAATTGTGGGATGAGGCCAGGATAAAAGAGAAAAGACCGTGAAGCAATGACTTGTGGTTACAGAACGATTTTCCCAACCTGAGATTTTCATTGCCAGAGGAGATTTGTTTGTGCATTTATTTCACTAAAAAAAAAATCTGCAGTGTCTCCACATCCTGCATTACCTGTAGGTTGTTTTCCATAAATCTGCCCTTGGGGTGAGAAAAACCAAAGAATGTGGAGAAAAATAACAGTTCTGTACCAGCCAGGCTTGGAGTGGCAATGTCAGCCAGTGCCGAACAGGAGCACTAAGTGATCTGGCTATCCAAACAGTAATGCAGATGACAGCAGTAGCTTTGTGGTTTTCCATGTCATAAATGGAACAAGTTGTTCCATTTCAAGTTGTGTTGAAGGTTTCCATAAAAAAAAGGAAGACGAAGGCTTTCCCGAGCCCTGCAAGCACTCGGACAGAGCTGAAGTGAGGTGAGAGTTGTGTTAGAAATAAAGTTTAAATGGCATGCTGGCTGTAATTGAGAAATGTATGTTTAAGTTATATCACACGGCCTTACAGCCTGTGGGTCTTTCCTGTAGAAATTCCTCCAGCAGCTGCTAATTCTGAAGCTGGGTGAATCACAAGCAGTATGGCAATTGGAGGGGAAATGCTTTTTAAGGCTCCAAACACGTCTCCAGCAGCACCACAAACTGAGGAAGCAGTGCTGCGGTGCGTGAGTGTGTGCACTCCCAGCCCTGCACGTTCCTCCAGAGCAATAATTAGAGTCTTCGGTAAGTGACCCCTATGGAATAGATTTTAGAGGAAATGTCCGGCTGCTGCTGGGAGAGATAAGAGATGCTGAGCTAGAAGGGTTGTGATGGGGGCTGTGCAGAGCAGTGTGGCAGCTTTGAAAAGGACAGGTTGTGGATAGCAGAGCGTAATATCCTGTTGAGTGGGGGAGTAGCAGCTTCACCAGAGGCTTTCTCTGAGAGAGCAGAGGACTTCTATCAGAAACAGCCGGACACCTGACAAAAAAATTGTGTGTTAAGGGCCTGCCTGAGGTTGCTTCCTCATTGTTAAATATGTCCAGGTAATAATCTGGCAAGCTTGCAGAGCAACTGGCAAACTATAGTTGCTGCTGCTCTGGTGCAGCTCAGTGGGGGCTCCTGTGTTGTTCGCCAAGGTTAAGCTCTCAGGCAGTGTGTCCTGTGCTCACACAGCACTGAGGTCATAGGAATATGTCCTGATCTTCACACGGAGCTGAGAAGCCGTTTTATTGTGTACCTCTACAGAAGCAATTCCATGGGATTGAGCAAGGTTAGAATTACCACAGAATTAATAAGGATTAATATTAATAAGGACTAATACTTTGCCTAGCTTTTAAAGCATCAGCTAGTAGTACTGGCTGGATTTTGTTTAATTACATCTATCCCCTGCCCTTCTCGCACCAAAATCTGCAAGAAAAAAGAAGTGTTGGCATATGCACAGCATCAGCAAGCTATAAAAAAATAAATCCTAAAGTAAAATGTATGTAAGCATTAATTATTTGGCCAGCTTGCAAAGTTGACCATTTCCAAAGGATTTAGCTATGTTAAAAAAGTGTTTTAGTGACATTATCACGCAAGAGCTGGAACATAACCTGAAATACTGCAGAGATGTTTTCTCTATTAGCACAGCCCAGTCCTGGCTCTGCATGGCACTGCTCCAGCCAATCTCCTGTAAACTGAGTGTGCCCTGGAGGGGTTACAGGGATGTGGGTCAGTTGGGGATGCTCTGGAGAGGCAGGGTCCTGCCCCACTCATGTAGCAGTGTGCATACAGCTCCATGCTGAGCTCAGGGGAGCACTTTGTGCTCAGAAACATCAAGCTCCTTTTGATATCTATGGACCAGTGTTGCCTTTTGTTAAATCTTTCACACTGGAAGGGCAAGCTTTAGAGATCACTTCTTTCCAAGCTCCAAATGTCTATACTGAATTGATGATAATCAGTGTGAATACATGTAAGAATTGAAAGCACATTCCTTCAGCCTAAAAGTAGATTTGTGAAGTTGTTTTTTTTTCCCTCTACTTCTGTATTTATCTCCTGCTGTAGATGGGTGCTAAAACAAAAGCTGCACTGCCATCACCACCTCCTTGCTGGCCACGGTTTGGTCACAGTGTGGCCTTGCTGGAGAAATCAGCTGCTCAAACAGAGAAAGATTTAAGTCTGAAGGAAACAACCTTTTATCCAAACATGGAGTTGGTGAGCAAACACAACATGTAGGCTTCTGGGCATCCCGAAAGAGGATTATTAGGTTTGTTTCATTTACTTTAGCTGATATGACCTTGAAATGTTAGTAGCATTGGGGGCCTGGTAGTGACGTTAACGCACACATCTGAGGCTCAAGGTGACCCAGGAGGAATGTGTGCTTTCTTAGGATGACTCCTGCGGCTGGTGGGCAGATTTCAGATGCAGCAGCAGCAACTGACCCCAGGCAGGACACCAAGGGCTGCTGGACCGATTTGGTGGGCCCTGTGGTGACACCGCTGTTCTCCTTGGGGCGAGAGGCTGCAGGGGCTGCGTAGTGCCTCCTTCAGGTAGCACAGCTGCTCCTTCTCTGTTGCAGAGCCTGCAATGAAGGTCCAGCGCTTGCTGTGCGAGTTGCAGAAGTTGTCTAGAGGTTGAGTGCTTGTATAGCTATGAAAAAGATAAAATGCTCAGGCTCTGTTTTGCATCTATTGAGAGTACTGGCTTGTCAGTGACCTGCACCTCTTCTGCCTTGCTTTGGAGCTCAGGTCCCTCCAGGCAACACTAGGACAACAGACTGGCTCTGAGACTGGTTTTAGGAGCCTCTTCATGCCTTCTCTTGCCAGACCCTACCAAAAATTCACCTGGCAACAGCTCTTTAAAGACTTGACTCATGGATAGAAAGCAGTGGAGGGAGCTGGAAGAGGGGCCTGGAAGTGGAAGAGGCTGCCCGAGAAAGTACTTCAGCCCTCCCCAGTGAGATCAAGTTATCAGCTTGGAGAGACTAGTTTGAAGAAGGTGCCACGTCCACACAGTGTTTGAACACCTCCAGGGACGGTGACTCCACCTCCTCCCTGGGCAACCTGTGCCACTGCCTCGCTGCTCTTCTGAGGAGGAATTGTTGCTAATACTCAATCTGTTGTGCTTCTCGTGAGCAGCTCCATGGTGCAGTTATGCAGCACCTCAGACCCTGCCTGCTGGTGCCAGCTGCACTGCTGCTCTGTCA